TAAAACCATTAATTGTAATCTTTTAAGGATGCTTCAAAAACATCGAAAACTGCTATAGGAAAAGAAATTCAATCACCATATTCTCTGCTTAAACCTGTATCAAAAGTGAGTATGTTTTTCTTATTTCACTGTGAAATAAAAGCATTAATTGAAATGTTTTAAGGTTGTTCCAAAAATATCGAAAGCTAGTACAACCAATCCTTCACCAATTATCGCACCGATGGACAGGTAGAGTAGTTGCTTTTAATTCCATCACAGAGATATATTTTGCGAGTAGCTTCAGTCTAGAGTTTACTTTTGTAATCACATTGAAACATCTATAATTTCGTATAGATTCAATTGTAATTAAAACTACTTCGTTTCTAGTATAGTTTCAAGAAACGTATAGTACGAGTTTTTCGTTCAAACCTCGCTATGTAGGAGGACAATAATATTTTTATCGAATAAAACTGATGCTTTTTGCTATTCTTCTGTAGATAAAATAAGAACAAACAATGTTGAAAATGTCTATTTAAATGTTATTACCACGCTGAAATATAAAAATCATTGAAAACAAAATAACTATTAAAAAATATCAACATTTTCTTACTTTAAAAACGATATTTAAAATGTAGTATTAATATAAGTATAAATAGCTGAACAAGATCCATGAGTTTTTCTTCTTTTTGTGTAAATTTCTATAAAAAAAATATGAGGTAATTCATATGGTGATATCGATATCGATTGTTATAATGCTTATGGAACTTAGAATCATTCATCGTACAAAGATGAGAGATAGGATATTTCGTCGTTAAAGCAATACTATATACCTAGTACGCACTAAAAATAGCGGTGAAGGAGCTCTACTTTCTTACAGGAGCCTTGAAAAACTTTTTTTTTTTCAATGTCGTAATAGAGCAAATAATGCTGTATTTTTTATGTTATTGGATCACTCTTTAACTTGCAGTGTAAAAATAAAATTTCTGTAAAGACCTATTTATCATGAAATGTATCGAATGTATGTATATTTGTTTCAACAAAAAGAAACGTAGAAATATACTTGTTTTTAGAAAATCTCTCATAGGAACAAGGTAAATAACTGCGATCTTTTCTGTTGAAATGAGGAAGATGAAAATACACTCAGTTCTACATTATAAAGCTCCTAAAATAGGTTTTAGCTGATCTTTCTGGAAGCCATCTACTATTAAATATACTGTAGAAGTTTAAATGTAATCATTTAGCAGTTATCTATGTTCTAATTGTCACTCGAAGTGAATTGTATAGGAGTTTCCGTAGAAATAATTTTTTCTCAGGTGAAAACGGTTTTTCCGTAGCTACAAAATCGATTAGCAAGTTTGAGAATTCTCGCTTTAGAAAGCTGTAATATATGGTTCGCTGCACTTTCATCTTCTTTTATAATCGTGATAGCCGTAGTTCCCTTTCATTGGCTATCGAAGTTTTACAAAGATGATGCTAGCTGAAGAATGATTAAATATCACAAGTAGATAGAACATTGTGCACTCTATCATCACAGTAGGAAAATAAAAGTTCTTTAAGCTTTCTGTCAAAAATGAGAGACTTCCACTACTATTTTTAGCATGTCCCAAGTGGATAAGTTTTGATAAAACAATGTTAATGAGCTTATTGATAAGATAACTAATTTTCTTCCTTTGCTTTTAGTCTGTCACTATCGAGTAATAAACCAAAGGAAACAGGTACGTATGTAAAAATTCTTTGAGTTATTATTTTCTATTATAAACTCAATCTAACAAAAATATATCATATAAGTTACAAATAATACAAAACTCAAGCAAAAATCGTTTTTGCTTTTTCACACATAGTTGGATAGAGCTTGTTGAGCTGAGTAAGAATATATCGGTTTTAATATTTTTTCGAAAGGTTTTTGAGGGAAAGTTTTGAATTTTATCCAAAATGCAAAATAATCCTTTTTGTTGAAAAAAAATTAAATAAGTTTATCTTTTTATGTTTTTTTTCAATTTTAGAGGATTTTTTCAGTTCTTGGAACGTATGAAAATCATATATTTAGATTCCTCGTGAAAAACTGCATCAGTTTGACCTATTATAGACGGTTTTGTTATATCTCTTAATGAAAATATGCTTGTAAAACGAAGGGATTCAAAGGGGAAAGAACGTCAAAAAGTGGTATGTCGTAGAATTTTTTGCAAAGCTAACTAGTGTTTTTGCATCTCAAGATATAATTAAGTTTCATATACCATTATAACTGCCAGGCATTGGGCTTCAAAAGTACAGCTTTGCTTTTCCGAAATGCCACTCTTTAAAAAAATCCCTTGCAACTGTGTTTGAGGACCTCTAAAACATAAAAGTCTTACATTAATACGATTTTTTCTTCACTAAAACACGTCCATCCTCCAATAAAAATGATGGATTTGGGATCAGCATAAAAAATTGAGTCAAGTACAATGACTTTCTCCCGTCTCGAAAGAGTTTGATTTTTTGACTCCATGCCAAGCATGAGATTTTCGTCGGAAAATTAAAATCATGCAATCACTTTAATACATACCTGGTTCGACTCAATTTTTCATGCTGATTCCGAGTCCATCATTTTTATCGAAGGATAGACGTATTCTAGTGAAGAAAAACTCGTATTAATGTGAGGCTTTTACGTTGTATGAGTCCTTAATCACAGTTGCAAGGGATTTTTTTAAGTAAAGTGGTATTTCTAAAAAGCAAAGCTAGGAGTGTGGGTGGAGGTGGGGGTGATGGTCTTATATTTGCCTCTCATTGATACTCACACCTATACCCACATCACACCTAGGCCCTCGTCAAATAAACATAATAAAAAAGAACGAAAGGACGAAAAATAAAAATTTTTGGTTATAGAAAGAACATGATATCATACTCGATGCAGCTATAAAAAAGAAACGACAACTAGCACATTTTTTTTAATTTTAGGATATGCAATGAAGCTAATCCAACAATATTTATGGCCACGTAAGATGTTATGTCGTATATTGTTAACTTTATAATTAAGAAATAAATAAATCACATAGACAGATAATATCAATAAGGTTTAGTTGGATAGTTTTTGTACGACTTCAGATAGAAGGATAGCAAATGAATTATTTTATTTTTGTATATTATGTTTTTAGATTACAGATGTCATTAAGATATACTGTTTTCGACATAAATTTGATATATAACTATTTCTATATTGAAACGTTTTAGAAAGGAATATTCAAACTGATCATCCATCATGCCAGTTTAAAGCAGGTAAGAAATCTTATATTTCGATTTTAGCAGAATAGATGACAATCTATTCTTAGACAAACAATGGCTTAATCTTCAATATCATACAGCTGATAGAATCAAGAAGCCTGCTGAACTTGAGCATCAAATGGAATCTCCACCTGAATTAGCTGATGAAAAACAGCTGGATCGTATTAAAGGATCTTTGATTGGAATGGCTTTAGGTGATGCAGTTGGTGCGCATGTCGAATATCGTCCTTACGAATATTTAGAACAAAATCCAGTTAAAGATCTCGTAGGAGGAGGTACATGGGGTTTAATAAAAGGGCAGGTATGATATCATTACCATATTTCACAGAAGATGACAAACATGTTTATGTTATATTCACCTTTTAAGAGGAAGAATAGTCTGTCTCAAGTTTTAAAGTATTCGTTTTCAATAATCATAATATCTATTATGTTTTTTCTTTCGTTCTATGTAAAGGACGCAAAAAGAAGTCATGCCTTTTTTACTAATCTTCCATGTCGACAGTCGTGAACAGAGTGAAAACATGTTTTCATTTTTATAATCTATTTATATATGTATTGACAAATTCAAAGTCATACACGGTAGTAGTAGATCAGGCAAATAATATATTCTCTTTAGAATGATATAATTAAAAACGGTTGTTAATATACGGCAAATAAATTTTAAAAGTTCTTTTTTTTGTTCTATTAATTATTATAAAATATGCAAATATTCTAGTTCACGGATGACACTTCGATGGCTCTTTGTCTGGCTATGTCATTATTGGCTCGTCATGATTTTGTACCATATGATCAGTTAGTTCGTTATAAATGGTGGCATCAATATGGATATATGTCATCGACTGGAAGTTGTTTTGATATTGATGCAGCCACAAGCCAATCCTTAGAAGAATTTAGTAGACGTCAGAAATCATTTGCAAAAAACCATAAAATTCCTGTCGAAAGATTGGACTTTCTCTCGGATGCTAGGCTTCTTGAAGACTTTAAAGTATATTGTAGTCCAAAGGGTGTTGCAGGTAATGGTGCTCTCATGCGTCTAGCACCTGTTCCACTTTTTTTCTATGGAAGTCCAGAGATAGCTGTAGAACTTTCAGGTATTAGTGGACAGATTACTGACGGTGATACGAAAGCTTATGATGCATGTCGTTATTATGGAGCTCTGATTTGTGCTGCTCTTAACGATTATGAGAAAAGTGACCTTCTTGACAAAGGTTTTTACAAAAAACATAAGCATTGGTTCGGCAACATTTCACTTTGTGATGAAATTAAGAAAATTGCCGAAGGATCTTATCAGAAAGAAGGTGGCTATCAGGATGGTATACGAGGAAAAGGTTATATAGTTAATGCTCTTGAAGCTGCTTTGTGGGCATTTTGGTCGGATGAGAACTCGTTTGAGAAAGGTGTACTTGCTGCTGTAAATTTGGGAGATGATACCGATACAACCGCTGCTATTTATGGTCAATTAGCTGGTGCATATTATGGATATAAAGAACTACCTAAGAAATGGATAAAACATGTGTACGCAAAGCAGTTTATCTTAAATGTGAGTGAATGGATAGCATATGAAGGAAAGAAATGGAGTGAAACGAAAAGATCTAGTTCAAGTTATTAGTCTTCACAAAATACCATTGGTTCGTTTCCTATTAAAAATAAAACATTATATTAATCTCAACCGAATATAACTTCTAAAACAGCATCAAATAGAGAAAAATCATTCTTTCAAAGAGTAGACTCCTATTTTGACTAAAAAGATCTACAAAATATTTAACCTCTGTCATCACCGTATTCTCCTCAACAAAAAAGAAAATAATGCCGGTCACAGTCAGCAAACGAGTGAATATCGCCGATTTTACTCAATGTTCTGCACAACATAAATTTAGATCTATTTTTTATGCGATCGTGATTATCAATTAAAACTCTATTTAGATACTGTGCATCATACTTATCGGCCTATTTTCACTCAGATTTTATTTCATTTTTTGGTTTTTGTAGATGATAGTGAGACGAAAACATTTAGTTGCATAGATATGACAAATATCTTGCATTACTTTAACTTGTCAATTAGATTTTTTCAGTGCACATTTCAATTTTTTTATTAAAAAGTAAATTTTAACCAGTTAGAAGAGGGCGTGGGTGGTGTGGGTGTGGGTGTGTGTGGGTTATGAGATGATGGACACCCACACCCACACTCTCATGCATTGTTGTGTTCTCTTATTCTTTCATTTACTGGTGAAGACAGACCGATTAGCTGTTTTAATGACTTTTGTTGTGACAATGTATTTTTTTCTAAACGGTTTTCTTCTGCCTTAACTCGACTTAAGCTTTGAGTCAGTTTTACTGAAAAAATAGTTTTGAATTATTTTTGCTTTTAATACATCGTACCATCCATTAAGTATGTTGATTGATGCGTTGACCGACTTTTATTGATGAAACAGACTTCTGATTATTATTTTTTTGCACAATCTATGTCATGGTTTGAGGATAAGCCGATTCATCTTTTCAGTAGCTTTTTCTATTAACAAACACTTCTCTCATTTTCTGCTTTAAAGTAATCTGATTTATGTCGTTAGGATTACTCTTACTGATGAAATACACTGCTGAATGTTTGTCATGTTTGTTAACTGCACTTCATTAATCAAAACCGTAGGTAAAACACTGTGTACAACTTCTATTTTGAAATTGTCAGCTTGCACAAGTGTATCTATTTTATTCGAATAACTTCTATGTATACGATATACTTCTTTCGTCTTTCTTTTATTAACAAGTGTTGTTATCGGATTATTCTTTAACCAATTTTTCTTATCTAAATATAGATCTAATCACAACAGTTTATATAATAATATAAATACCTCAAGAAATTTCATCATGAATTTAGGAAATACAATATAAAGAAAGAAAATGTTAAATATCCGTCACCTTGAGATCCGTCTTGCATTCTATCTAATAAAGTATATTTATATCGACAAATATTAATAATGTGTGTCTCTCTCCATAAAGATAATATATTATCTAAAGCTAGAGGTTTATGGTAAGATACAAGAGTTACTTTTTTCTCTAGTATACCAAACCGATCAGTATTCCTATCATATATGTTCAAATCTACGTTATTCAGTTCTTTGTCAAGATTTTCTCATTGTTGTACTTCTATTCCAACAGAACTGAAATCAGTTCTTTTGTGTTTCAAGTCACTTAAACGTTTATAGTCCTTGTTTGGGACTCGCAAAGATCACACTTTGTTTTATCAATATATCATCATTTTCCTTCTGTTCTTTTTTGTCTCTTTTTATTTTTCTCTCACAATATGAGATTAAGACTTACGACAGATAATTACATTTTGAAATGTGCAGCAGCTTAGTAAATAGCTCTTCTTTTTCTATACTCATGAGTATGAAATTCCCCTTCCATTATTTTCTCGGCACGGATAACGATGTTTTGGAAAGAAGCCATGTGGTACTATTTGTATTATATTCACTATTATCTTTAATGATCGATTTTTCAGCATATTTGCCTTAATATAAACTTTTTCTAGCATATGAATCGTGATCATTAAATGAATATTTTTATTCTTTTATCTTTTGACAAAAAAACGCTTTAACTAAGATAAAGAAGACAAATTCGTGATATACTGAATTCTATTTATAATATAAATGCACTTTCGCAAGTTTTTGATCATTTATTACAGACGCAATAAATAACGTCTTTGCTGGAGGTTAGCAACATATTAAATGTTCTTTTTAACTTCTCAGTCTTTATAAATGCGATGAATGACGTCTTTGCTGGAGGTTAGTAACATATTAAAAGTTTTTTTTTAATTTATCATTTTCTATAAATATGATGGGTGTCGACTAGATATGGCACTTTATTTTTTATTTTGTCGACGCTCTATAGACTGTGGAGTCTTGTGAGTATTACACATACAATTAAGATAGTTATAAGCATAAAAGAGAAAATCTCTGCAACTTTAAAATTTGTAGTTAAAGTTAAAGTGGCATATCTAGCGTCCATAGTTCATATTTATATGAGAAACATGAAAGAAAATTGTTTTTAGGTATCATAACTGGCTTTAACAGATTTTTACTGCTTATGGTTGAAACTTTCAAGATATATTAAGTAAGAAGATATGTATCTGTAGTATAAATATAAGATTAAACGACACTAGTATGAAGTGTTAAACGAAAAAGTAAATGTGTCGTTTTTTCTTCACTAAGGAAATAAATATACTGTTTTTTCGTGACTTGTGAAAGATTACACTTGTTTGTTGAAGTTACTTATGATTCTCGAGAACAATTTTCCTCAATGTTTGCTCATATGAAATCTATCATGAACTCCTACTAATTCCTAAGATTATAACATAGTGTAATACATCAGTCGATTTAATCAGTTATATCGCGCAACTACAATCATAGTGTGACTTTTCAGTAACATAACTAATTTGTACATATACCTAGTATAATACTTCAATATAGTTATAACACAGCAAAATTATTTCAGATGTTGTTTTCCATGAAACGGATAATAAAGATTTTAATTGACTTACTCACATGAACTTTATCTTTTGCTTTTAGTCATGCGCAATGTATAGATTTTCCCTGAAATTTGACATAGTAAATGATAAAGAGAAAAAAACTTTTATTTTATTATTTTTAAAACATGACTGCTATCGATTTTTTCGCGCTCCGTTTATATTATAAATCCAATTACTTAGCTACTCGAGAAAATAGAAAATCAAATGTCATAGATTTGGAAAGTTGGAGAGGATGACACGAATAAATATTCTAACTTTATATCTTGTAAATTGTGTTTAAAGAACACTTTTGGTTGCCTGAGTCATTAATTCATTCTCTATCTTCTCTTTTCAGATACGATCAAACACAAATAATAGTTTCAATGGTAGTCTCTAATATTGTTAAGTCCTGGCTCTTTCAAGTTTTTCAAATTCCATCTATTCTATTCAGTATCTTTACTCTCTACTACTTACTGATGGATCGAGCACTTCGAAATGCACTTCACAATCATGTTATTATTGTCATGGTCTTTGTTGATCTTATCTTGCAATTTATTGATGTTACGGCGCTCACTTACTACTGGCGTACCGGTACTGCATTAGTATCCACAAGAGCCTTTTGTTTTACCTGGGTGTCCATTCATTCCATTGGGATTGTAGGAGCAATAAATCTAGTGGCTTGGGCATCGATTGAACGTCATATTCTTATCTTTCATCCAAAACTGGTTCGTACAAAAACAAAGCGATTTTTTCTTCATTATCTCCCATTGGTTATATGTATGATGTGTCCTGGCGTATTTTATGTTACTATCTTCTTCATTGTACCTTGTTCTATTACAATGGATTACACAAAAATAGATTGTGGTTATTATTCCTGTATCGGTGTTATCCGGTCAGTTGGATTGTATGATAGTGTGGTAAATTACATCATTTCTCCATTTATCATTGTAATATTCAGTGTGGCCCTTATTATACGTGTGCTGGCTAGTAAATACCGCGCTGGCCAACAAATTCAATGGCGTAATTACAGAAAAATGGCCATTCAATTATTATCAATATCTTTTCTCTATATCTTTCTATGCTGTCCGTCAATTTTTATATATACTGCCTATATGGCTGGTTTACCACAAAATATAGCTACCGGTTTCTATTCTGATATGAGCTATTTTAGTTACTATGCTCGAACGCTCACTCCTTTTATATGTGCTCTCTCAATGCCTGAACTTCGAACCAAATTTAAAATATGTTTTCCATGCTGCCGAAGACGTCGTGCTGCTGTTGGTCCACAAGTATTAATGATGACTCGTACAAAAGCAGGCCCAACAGCGGGTCCAACAGCAGGCCTAACCGCGGGTCCAACAGCAGGCCCAACCGCGGGTCCAACAGCTGCAATAGCAGCAATTGCTCAATAATTACTCTAAAACTACCATAATTAACAAAAATAAGAGTGTGATTCAATCGAAAAATATTAACAGACACTATTTTTCACTGGAAAAAGATTTCATATTGTAGTTCCCTATTCCTATTTTGTTGTTGTCATTGTATATTTTCGTTCATTCAGCGTTGATCATTCTATCTAATTTGTTAATCATGCATTTCTTTTTACTGAACATCATTTGATTTAATTTATGTTGTGTAATTATCCATATTAATCTATGATAATGCTCAAAAATATTTTAATAAAGCATTTGATCAAAGAAATCCATACACTTTTCTGAAAAAAAGATCTTTTTATTTCAGTTATTCAGAAACTTCATCCATCATTGAAACTTCAATTTGTAGTTGAAATTGAATCATTTATAGCAAATTCTACTTTGATTATTTCAGTTTAGTTATATTCAGAATTGTTTGGGAACATTTATCAGTAAATGAAGATGGTTGATCAAATGTTTATTATCAATTTCTTATAAATATTATAAAACAAAATTTAATTAAAATAGTTCTAAGGGTGTCGGCGTGGGTATGGGTGTATGTTTGTGCGTGTGAGTATGAATATTAAGTTAACCATCGGCACTCACACCCACATCCTTTGAAAAAATCTACAGTATAGAGATAGTTTCGTAATTATAGGTGACTCATTCACTGTACATTAGTAATGGGAGCTTTCACACAAAAGTTAATATCTGTTATCAGGTTATATACTGCAGCTTCCCCAGGGGAAGTTGCGTAATTGTAGTTGACTCATTCATTGTACATTAGTAATGGGAGCTTTCACACAAAAGTTAATATCTGTTATCAGGTTATATACTGCAGCTTCCCCAGGGGAAGTTGCGTAATTGTAGTTGACTCATTCACTATACATTAGTAGTTGGAAGTTTCATACTAAAATAAATATTTGATATCTGGTTACCTGCAGAAAAGGGCTATATATATGTAGAAAACTTCAGTTGGCTTTATGAACTATACATTAACAGTTGAAACTTTCATATAAACGTAAGTATTTTATATCTGGTGTGCTTCTATGTTTGAGTGTTGATCAAAGTAACTTACTGGTTTTTAGAGTAGCATGAAATATAAGGAAAGGTCATTTAACAAAGCTGGTTACATTTTGATTTTTGCCACGTCCTCAGATAAAAAGAGAGAATGGGTTTTTTCTCTTGAAGGTGGTGGTAGTTTACAACATAGACCTTTTAGATAAGACAATGAGTAAAGATTGTGACTAATATATATATATATATATATATAATAGACTTTAGTCCAATAGATGTTTTATAAAAAATATTTAGGTTATAATCATTTTTATTCTATATAAAGGTTGTTACGAAGTATTAGTGTTTTTGTTGAAGGTGTTCCAAACAATTTGATCCAAATAAATCAAAGCTCAAAATAATAAGTAAGCTTTTCACTTGATTTCGAAAAAATCTTGATGTATATTGAATCCACAGTCTGTTATTATAAATCATTATTCTTGCGAGACTTTCTTCTGATTTTGTTTGTTTGAAAGTAGATATGTCTCAAACTCAAACTCTTTAGGTTAAGTTAATATAAAGTTATTTCTTGTTATCGTCCATTACATAGTTCTATTCAGACTCGAAGTTAAACACAAACCGGATCTGAAATTAAATCTAGAGATATAGGTCCAAATCTCAAAAGGTCCGTAGCTCTCTAACTGTAGTGCGCTCATTTCTAATATATGCCAGTGAAATGTAAGTTTTCCATTCTTAATAACTTCTCCGAGAAGCGGGGTTTGGATTCGAATTATTGATCCTCCGTTGTGATTCTTTTTTGTTTAAGAAATTGATCACATCTATCTAAGTTAGCTTCTATTTTAATGTTTATATCGACTGATTCCAACCCCAGATTGTACATCACATTTTTGTATCCGTGACGATAATAATGCTACTCTCTCAGTAATATGTTTACGAGTTTTCTCTCCTCTTCCGTCTCCTTTTGTCGCTCTTGTCCTTTTTCTATTGTTCTTTAATATGTTCAACCCTCTTTCTTTCTCTATGAGCATGTTTATATATGAAACAAATACAAAAGCACGAAGTAGTTACGTATCGAAAGTAGTTATGATGACTACGTTGTAGCTGAGTTTTAGCATCAATTGTAAGTAATTCTTGCAAGTGAACCTGCAGAAAATGCGAAATATTTTGTTTAAAAGTTGACAATATCAGGAATCGAATAACTGTAACGGGATTTAGACTAATATTTGTTTCTTAGTGTATAGTGGTATTTTCTATATTTAGTAAAGGATGAGCGCTACTTGTTTGAACTTGAAGGAAAAAAATTAAAGTTATGTATTATTACACTAATCATCGTGCACTGAGCTTTCAGGCTTTTAGTTAATTAGTATGTTCAAGAGCGCCAATATACACAAGTAACGTTCGTCCGAGTAGTTGCTCAGTTCTTTCTCGTAGAAATGGTGCTCGTGCAATATCAATAAAATGTTACCTTCAATCAGATCTTATCGCAAAAGTCTTTTCTCGTGTAAAAAGTCTCCATGCGAACGATAAGACACTTTGAAGAAGTGATTATAGATACCAATCAATCCATCTCAATTACCTTTCGTAAAGTTTTAGAGAAACTAGAAAAAACCGCGATTGATTGAATAATCGTCTTAAAACCACTCGACTGGCTCAAAACTCAGAATGAAAACATTATATTGATGAGTTTCACGCTATAGAAAACTGATGGGCCCAGAATAGAATATTGAAAAGCTTTGTCGATGGAAACCATACGCTCCTACAATCTGACTGGACGTAAATAGACCCTTCTAAAACGTGATCGGACGAAAACAGACGCTCCTGAAACTTAGTTGTTAAGATTGCAACATACAACCGTAGGCAATGCTTTTCTGATCTTCTGCTGGCACACAAGCAATCGGGCAATTCATGCTAGTAAGACTCTTTTCTACGAGAAAGAGAATATCCAGCTACAATAATTTGGCTAGAGTAATAACCGAGAAGCTGCATTTAGTATCTCTTGTTGAGTATAAAAAGAGTTCTCGAAAGTAACTTAAAAGTATCAAACTTCGCATCGACCATCATGATTCATGGCAACTACCTCAAACTTTTGCTATAAAGAGATCAGTAGAATGCGTTTTTTTCATGAATAGATTCTTCGAGTTGGAAGAACTTTTTGATTGACCTAAGTGATTGCCACACTAATGATACTAAGCAGAGATAGGTGTAGGTTTGAGTGATTCTGCTGTGATGTGAGTGCGGGATTCGCGGAGAACCCACAGCTACACCACACCCATATTCACACCCACACCCACATCTACACCTACCCAAGCCCACCCTGAACTGAAGATGGTCGTAAGTACCATAATTTGGGAATATTTCGAATTCAAGACATGAGAATGTTATCGATAAATTTCTTTTTTTAACAGGAGAATTGCGAAATGACAGAAACTGAAGCGTGTATGAGTGTAATGTTATTTCATGTCATTGTAGATTCCTTTTATCAAGCAAACAAACATGGGTGGCAGCAACTCAACACAAGCAAAAAACTTCGACGGCAAAATATTTGGCCCAAACGGAAGACTTATGGCCGTCAGTCACATGCTCAAGGTTCAAGAAGATCTGCAAGCTAACTATCCACAGCTTTCTGACGTCTCAGAACACGAGAAAAAAGTGTTGATGCCAAAGTTGGTGAAAGTGTATAACTTGATAGACGCTTGGCGAAGTGACGTTGACCTTCAGTATCGTCACGCACTGAATCGAATGAAAGCAGCTGCTGACCACAGTGCACGAGTTCCAGAACTGATTCTCGGCTCTTTAGTGTCACTTCTCTTCATACTTCCTGGAATTAAAGCAGGATGGAACGCCATAGAAATCGGAGATTTACTCAAAGAAAGTACTATGAAAGAAAATGACATGGCGGCATTTTTAGGAAAAGGTTATAAGGCGGCAAATTACCTTTACGTTATCAGTTCCAATGCAACCAGTAGTTATAAACAAACATCGACGTTCGAGAGCCTTCTCTTTAAAGCGTCAGAGAATATGCGAGCATTGTTGTGCAGCCCAACAGAAGAACAATGGAAATCATTGCGGCTGCTGTCGGACCTCGAAATCGATACGAATCTGCATCTTTACAACGCAATTCGAACTGCGATGGTCCAACACACACTTCCTTTCGTCTATGGGCACATTTTTTCGCAGAATTTCCATTTTAATGCAGAAAATTTGAAAGGCGAAAGCTTCCTTTTTGGTAAAACTTTTGGGGTCTCCGATGAAGGTGTAAAAAACGAAATCGAAGGCTTCATAAAAATCAACCCACAGCTTTTTTGGGAAGGAACGACATTCAAACGTTGCGACAAAAATGGTACTAGCATTTGTAAGAAATGCGACAGTATTGATCTGTATCATCCGGCCAAGTGGCGAGGAATAAAAGTATACGCTCGCAAAAATGGCTATCACAGCCACTGCGGGATGTATCCCGGCTGCTCCACGTGTGGTCTTTAAGCTGGTGGCCGCCGTATCCATTAGAACCGAAAAATATTGTGAAGGTTTTTGCGTGCAGAATTCCATTGTTTATGATTTACTAACAGAGATAACTGCAATGTAAAGTTTAACTAAGAGAAAATAAACTAATCAAGATATGCAAGGCTTGCGTACGTGGTACGAAGCAGATTGTTCACACTCTAAAAGCATTCTTCAGAAAAGTACAAAAACGTTATTAGTAAAGTTACTCGACCAAACCAATCAGGTTTTATTCATTGTGCATCATAATGCGTTCGGATCCGATCAGTTTCAATATTCGAATTCCAATCGATTTCTGATCGTCGGAAATCATCGGATTCGAAGATATATCATTCGCTGGATCGCACATGGTTAGTAAACAAGAAAGAGAATTGAAAATTTTCTAGTAGCCATGTTTCTTTCTTTCTCTTGTCTTTGTAACTAACGACACCAGCTAAGACTCTTCAACCTGAACATATCATTAACGTACAGCATTAATTAACATTGTTTGTCCAATTCTACCTGAATAATATTATCATATCAGTCTAAGTAGAATGTATCTGTGTTTACGTGGGTGTGGATGAGTAGGTGTTGGTGTGAGTGTGGGTATGAGCATGAATATTGAGTTAACCATCGACACCTACACCCACAGGTATATTTTTCGGTTTTTTCGATGCTTATAAATTTACAAGGAAATCTAGTACAGAACTGAGCAGCTCCTTATCCGACTTAGGATTTTCTGCTTTTTCAGATGGCCGTCTTCAGAAAAAACTTTTGTTAATTTTCCTAGGGTGTGTAAATGGAGGGTTCTGTATTCTGAAAAACGTTTTTATGAAACTGTTTTTGAAAATTTGATACATACTGTGTTCGATAGAGAATTTCATAGGCTATCCAAATCATTATTTAGATTCGATTTAGCTACTGTTCCTCTTTGAAAAAAATCAAAAATACTCTGTTTCTAAACTTTTTGCCTCCGCTTTAATTTAAATTATAATTGGATTGTACGCATGATCAAGTAATCGGAAGTAGCGGACCGTAGCGGCGCCGACTCCGAGCTGCTTGCGGTGTTTTACCGTAGCAGACTTGAAAGGTGTACTTGTTTAAAAAATGGTCGTCGATGATAGCACCTTATAGTTTATTAGTTTAGAGATAGTTTACAAAACAGATTTGAACAAATAGTGATATATGATGATAAAATCTAATCAGTCGAGGGTTAAACGAGTCTCATCGACGAGTGCTACTTGTTGATTTATGATTTATAAAATATTTGACAAAAGAAATGAATAATCTAAAAGATATCCTATTGTTTAACAAGTAACGGTGAAATATGAAGAAGAAAAGTTATTGATATTCGATTATATTTGGAACGTGTTTTTTTTTACGAATATCAACCCATTGATAGACAATCATTTAAATTCTCTTGATTTATTTAAACTATTTTTTTTGTTGACTATCTAAAATCTTTCCCAGATTATTTAAATGAAGATAAAGACTACGTTTATAAAATGATGAAACTAATTTATACGGAGAAAGTTTATCATCAATAAATATTTTATATTGCCACATTTCTAAATGAGTTTCTAACGAATAATTTGATAAGAAAAAACGAGCAAGAAATGATGATAATGTATAACACTTGAAAAATAATAAAGAATATTCAAGAATTGATAATATTATTCTTTTATATTGATCATCACTAGTCATGATCTATAAATATAAATTTTAAAATTCGATATCTTGAGGGTGTGGGTGGTTGTTCATCAGTTATCTATACCCACACCCACACCCTGAAGATTGTTCCAAGTCTTTTTGCAAAACCACTGTATATATAAATAGACAACATTTATGACATTTATATGTTTTTCAAGAAATAGTTATTTCCAGAATAAATTATTCGCGTATTATTATTAGCATATTGTCAGATCTTAATATGAATTAAGTCTAATATAAGTCGTAATTCTAGAGAATACGAAAACTATCATATTTTTTTCATAAAAAAGAATTATTTTCTTGTCGTATACATTTACGACATGTTCAGAATTGAATTATTAATCAATTTGACATATGTCTACTTCAATTATTCGAATATTATTTTCGAATCGAAAAAAGAGGAAGATTTTATTCATGTTCAATGACATTATTACTCAATATATCATATAAATGTTCAATTTTCTCCTTTCAACTAAACAAGATCGATCGTATATCATAAAATGATATGCATATATAAATCATGAATAATCATTTTATTGTTACACATATAACAGAATAACAAAAACAAATCAAGTGTAACATAATTATTCAGTGATCATTTCTTTCTTCTTTTTTGAACCACCTTTACCACGATGTTTCTTTCGACGCTTTTTTGTATCATATTTTTCTAAAAGTTGATCAATTTCTTCGGGACGTGTTGCACTCTTTTTCTTATGACCTAATTCACCTAAATCTTTTTGTAATTCTCGTAAAGACTAAATGTAAAAAATAATAATTTATTTCATAAAAGAAAAATTTCTATACTTACATTTATATCAACATCACAAGATAATCGATTTGATTCAAAAACTTCGGGTAAACGTTCATCAGATAATGGATATACACCACGTGTAAGTGCATCAAATCTAAATATAATTATTTAAATATTTTTTTTTTATATTTCGATTCAATTTACTTTCGAGCTAATTCATATATTTGTTTACGATTTCGTTGTTTACAACTTTCAACTTTTGCTATTTTGATTAATTTTTCTGAAAGAAGTTTATAATCAAACTAAAATAAAATAATAGTTTATATATAAAATTTTAAAATGAAATATTTACTTGTAAAGCAGTATCTTCATCTTCTTCATTATCAGCATTATTCATTTCCATTTCTTCTTCAATAGCTTGTCGACCAAATGCTTGAATATTTTCCATTTCTTCTTCTGCTTCAGGATCAATACCAACATCAGAATATTGAATGATCAGAAAAAATAGATTTTTGTAAACATGTTTAACTAATATATCACTAAAATTTTTAATTTATTATCATATATATATAAAATATTTCTATTTACTGATCTGATGCTTTGATAATATTAAAAAATGGTGCTAATAAAAGAATTAATCTTTTAGGTTTTAATGCAACACCACCCACTTTAGCAAGTTCTTCCAAGTATATATCAGTTATATGTAATTTTAAACCTATAAATTGACAAAAAAATGAAATGAGATTATTGATTTTGTGTTTTTTTTATACGAACCATCACATGCTCGATTGCCATTAGGACTAAGAACATTGTGAGCCAGCATTTTTGTAAATTTTAAAATATCTGGTTTAAGCCATTTTAAATTTTTAAGAAATACAAATGATTCACGTAGAAAATAACGAACAAACTATTGAAAAAAAAACATTTTATAATAAGAAATAAAATAATTAGATAATTTAATTTACGGTCATAAATTTGCTTAAACGCCATCGATCAATACCCCACCATTCCCGAGCAAATGTAGCAAAACCAGCATCGATATATAATCGTGCTTGATCATTATCACGAAATTCATGAATCCATGATGATATTTGTAAAGCTAATTGATCCTTTATAATAAAAAAAAAATATTTAGATTCAAAAGAAAAAAACAAAGAAAAATCATAATACTTGTAAAACAGGTTTATCAGCCATCCACATATTATAGTAGAGACCTTTCCATATTTTAATTAAATCATCATATGAAAAAAAACTTGTTGGATTTAATGTTCGAGCATTAATCCATAATTTAAGTCGTTCAACAGCTTTTGTTCGTTGAGCTTTACTTGAATCGACTAATTTATGAACAAGAATACGTTCGGGTTCAAGTTCTGGTGATTCCTGTGTTTCTTGTGGTTCATAATTATGATTTACTTTACGTGGCATTCTAAAACGAATTACACACGATTATTTTTATTTTCTAGAAGTGAAAATAAACAGAAAACAATATCAATAATAACAAAATTTAACTATTCAAATATGATTGGTTCGTTTTTTTAACGAATGATTTCTTTGATATTTTTTGCGTTCTTTATTCTTGTTTATTATTGAACATCGTATTATTATATAAACCTCTCATCAATGTTCATATACATTTTTGACACATTCCGATGCAGTTCTAGATCATGCCATTAGTTTCTTTATTTGATCGAGCTTTACCAACTTCATCCTCATTTAAACAATCAAATAATATTCATACAGAACAGGTAAATTTACTATATATAGAACTCAAATAGACCCCCCGTCCCATATAATATGCTCTCGCTCTTTGTACTTTTCTTATTGCATTTTAATCTTATTTGTCGCTCGAAAATGTCCTATTAAAAACGTATTTTTTGTAATCGGATCATTCAATAGATTGTTTAGTGTGTCCTTCTGATGTAAACCATTAATAATACAGACAGAAATTGACAATACCAGTCGTCTATATGCCAGTTTTATAAATGTGCAAATGAGGCATGAAAAATGAAGGTCATTTTCTCTATCTTTCATAGACTTGTCATCAAAAATGAGAATTTTTCTCTATTTCGGACGCCAGTTCTGTCCTTCGCACCAAATGTCTACCTTGATAAAAGAAAAGAGCATATCTAAAGACATACGTAACTAATGATTGCCATTTCTGTCTAACTCTATATTCATTTACTGAGATTCAATACTGAAAGTAATACAAATCATTTTTTACTTTACATAAACATTTATCCTAATTATCCTACACGTTTTATCTCAAAAGTTCACCCGTTCGACTGTCTATGTGTGCAGACAGATCTTCACTTATTTATCGAGGTCAGTAAGGCCATCATCATCATCATCATCGTTATTATTGTCAACGTTCTCTGGCAAGACTCTATTTGAAGGGATATATACATTATATATACGAAAGCCATTGAATAAACTGTCAGCTATAAATGGCATATTAAATAAATATTCATTTGTGCATGTGCGCACACTAAAGTTGTGACATAATCGACAACGATGATGCGTGATTCGACTAATAATAATACTATTGCCCTCGACCATCGTTGTAACATCAATGATTGAATGAACGAACGAATCAAACACAATGTTGGCTTGTTTTGCTGACAATACGAGAAAAGAACGCAAACGAACATCGGTGAATGTGCTTTCTTTTACTATATATTACATTTCCCGATTGGATTTCTTGTTTTACTATTAATACTTTGATTGTTCTTTTTTTTATTATTATTATAGCCTAGTATTCTTTCCTATTCATCAAATGGCAATAATGCTGCCAAGGAGAATGGCTGTGAATCGTCTTTTATCAAGCAGCAGCATCATCAGCAACATCATCATCATCATCATCAACGTAAGTTAGTTACCACCAGTAGAGAATAATCATAACAATATCTCGAGTGAAATTAAACATGAGAAGTGAATGAAGAAGAGAAAAAAAAGCGAAATAAAGAAACAGCTGCAGCTGTTCACATGTTTGATGTATCCCGCTGAGTTTATATATGGATATTCTCATCATTACCATATGAACAGAACACTATATAAAAAAAAACGCAACGTTTTGTAATAATAATAACATACTCTCTCTACTCTTCTTTGTCTATCAAGGTTTTACTTTCAATCTTAACCTATCAATTGAGATATGACGAACGAATATTATAAGACTAGTATGTACATATTGGGGTGGGGTCAACGTTCTATACATATATTTGTATGTATATATGTATTAAGACGATTGCACTCATTTGTATTTGACAATATGTATGTGCCATTAGACGATTGATGGTGTTTGTAGACTTGCCCTTTTGTTGCTTATATGAGTATAATCATTTATTCTAATTTCACTATGGTTGTATATATCGTATACTACATAGTATCGTACCAATCAGTCTCTATGATTAGATGTCATCATTCACTTAAATCATTGGATAGAGGAGAAAAAAAAAGAGAAAACGTTCTTTATTTTACATTCTCCCTTTTTT